AGTGAGACAAACCATCGAAAGTAAAAAAGTATTCCGATGACACAAAGTGTGACTTCAAACTCCAGAGATATCCAAGCAAAATAGAAACCGCGTTGTAAATCCATCGAGATCTTGTCACGGATCTGATTCTTCGAGCTCCCCGCACGAAGTCCGAATCTCGCGTCCCTCATTTGATACAATGAATCCACGATAATTTCATTTTCCTCATGAATTCCCCCAGTCTATTCCCAAACCATCGGTTCTGAAAACTTTTCACACGAGTGAACACAGCTGCAGCGGCACACTCAAGGAATCACAGCATGACCACATGGTGCAATGGGCAAAACAGTTTCACGACAGTTGCAATGAAATATCGCAATCAAATCAAACTCGTAATCACCCCGCCAAAGGATATTTCGAGAACGCGGAGTTCAAACATGCTTTCATTACGACAAGCCAAAAGACTGTACAAAGCCCAAAGCACACATGCGACCAACAAGCTGCAACCCTCAGTGCACAAACGATCTGACATGCTCCTCAGCCGTGCGCGGACGTACCGCAGTCCAAGGCTCCTGCCGTTTTGACAGTTCTTTACACAAGCACCTAAAGTGCACCTGGCTACAACTGACCTCTATCCTTGGGCACCTCAGGCAGATCTGGAGTCTGCCACACAACACACCCGGATGGTGTGGATTGTGTTTCTTATCTCAACTCACAAGACGTCTCAAGTGAGACCCAAGGTGGCGGCCTGTCTCCGAGAGCGGCCCCTTCAAGGTCCATAAGCAGCATGAGCAAACAGTCAGGCAATCGTTGCTGTGTCATCACGACTAAGCACTGTCCTTTAAGGACAACATCTCAAGAAAGGATGCCACGCACAAACACGAAGTGGTACCAGTCCGTAACTGCTTCCACAGGCAATGGTCAAGCCTCAAGAGAGGTGCTTTCGCAGCATAAATTCTGGTTCCTTCAAATGCATGCAAACAAATCGTGGTCGGAACAAACATTGGGCTCATTCAAGTGTCATCGTGTCCTTCAGGCTCAGGCAGGATTTGCAGTTGCGGATGAACCTGCCCCTGATCTTGATTGGTCACAGTGATGAATGTGAACATGGTGGTCAATCGTGGAATGTTCCCCAAATGCGCCAGGTGTCGCACCCAGGCTTGGCACAGTACGCAGAGGCCGAACCTTCCTGGGTGCTCATCTCGCAAGTCACCATACAGCGTCATCTGAACGATCCTTGCATTCCGCACACCATCACAGTCATATCTCATGTGGAATCTTGTCCCACGGCGCGGTGCGAACCAAACCGGTGCTTCCCGTCTGACTTGAAGAATGTCATCTGGTCCAAGTTCACGGTGCATCCATGTCTGGACAGGATTTGCTGGCACAATCGCTGCTGGTGGCTCGAGGTCCTGCAACGCAGGAAGCATCGCTTCATGAGCATCATCAAGGTCTTCAGGCTCCTCATCAGGCTGCACGGTTGCTTCTGACGATCCATCGTCAGAGTCATCATGAGCATCGACTCGGCCAAGTGGCTGGTGGTTCTCTGGAGTTGTGGCAAAACCCACTATCCTAAGGAACCGACTACCTATGTACCCAACCCAGGCACTTAAATTGGCAACCACCTGTCTACAACCGCCTCTAAGTCCTAGACCCGCCTGATGGGACCTTGTCATGAATGCCAACGTGGCACACAAGACCACAAGAGTGATCACGGCACGAACATCAACGCTCACTGTCACGACGTACCAGTTCTCATGTGGCTCTAGTGGTTGACTCAAGCTGCGTCCTTCCGTAGCCCCACTCGACACCACTTGCAAGTGCAATCACCTTCAAGGCATCACCATGACCCTGGTTCAAACGTCGCGTGACACGCATGAACTGCTTCACCTCCTGCTGTCGCTGATGTTCACGGAACTCAGCAGCTCCTACTCGATCGAAACCCTCGGCTTCTGATCTGATGCCAAAGCAATGACACAGGAATTTGGTTCTGCTTGATGACAACGCCTTTGTCATCAAATCAGCAGGATTGATCGTAGTGCCAATCGCGTGCAACGTTGCCTTGCGGTGCAAACGTATGTGGTCCTGCAACCACAGCATGCGTCCTTCAACATGCCGAAGCCGTCCACATCCCTTCCGCGAGACTATTCCTCGCGCCGCACTGGAGTCAGTGAAGATGTGGGTCTCCAATGGTTCTCCCATTACGTGCCTCAAGGCCGTCTCAATCAGGATCGCGTCGCAGGTTCCAGACACCATGGCAATGTACTCAGCTTCCCCGCTAGAAAGCGCAACGCATGCCTGCGATCTAGAGAAGGAGTACACCGGAGCACCATTCAACATCAAGCATCCGGCTGACGTGCTCCGACGAGTGGACTTGTTTCCACTCCAATCGGAGTCACAGAACACCTCAAGGACGTGAGCATCCCTGTCTCGGACCCTTTTCCACAACTCTCAAGGCTCCAGACGTAATCGGCATGGTTGTAAAGGTAGTTGGCAAGGTGCCTCAAGCACTGCCACGCTCCCTTGTTCGGCTTCCCACACACGCTTGAGAGTGTTTTCACTGCGAACTGTGCAAACGGCAGATCCGGCGCCACGTAGAGAAGGATGCCAATGGCTTTGCGATATAGGGCTGAGGATGTTTGGTCAAGCGGCTCGAGCTTGCTCCAGAGCGGCAGTGTGCCCCCAACGGGTAGAGGAGTCTCCTTCGGTTTCTGGCTCACCACTCCAAGCATTGTTGCCAACGTGGTCACGTGTTTAGGGTTCGGGTATATGCCCAGGACACCCTGAGCCAGCCAAACATGCCGCCGCTTCAGAAACTCAACCTCTTGACCAATGCCCTTCAGGCGATGAACAGTACATCGGTACTTTCCTCGGATGCATGCTTCCAAGCGGTCCAGACATGCACTGTGTCCCACCGCAAACACATCATCTACATGACATAGTCCGCCTCCAGTTTCATCTGCCCCGCCATCTGACTCAGCTGGCGCTGGGATCCTGAAAAGCGCAGGTGCCTCGATGAGAGGCTCGATGGAGAGGCCTTGGGAGAGATGTTCTTGGAAAGAGTCGAACCAGTCCTTCGCCCCTGGCCGCTGCCCCGGGAGATTCCGCAAGAGCTGGTAGTACTTTCGTTCGGTTCCAACATCAACCGACACCACTGTCTTGACACGCTGTGGCACTGTCAGATATGCATCTGTGATATCTAGCGCTAGAGCCTCCCAGGGCTCTCCTTGTTTCTGCTTTGTCACAAGCACTGCAGGCAGCAGTTTCCAGAGAACGCTGGCACTAGCTGGTGCAAAGATATCGCTGCCGGCCATATTGGTCATCCACTTAAAATCTCTCGCGACAAACCTAGCCCGTCGGAGAAAGGCCTGTCCTTGGCCTTCTGGCGCAGCTTTGATCCTCCAGCCCTTGACCATCTTCGTCGATAGCCACCTGAAGTCATCAAGGTTTGTGCTAGCAGGATCCAAAGGCAAAAGGACTCCCATCTGGACAAGGCGTTCAAGTTCGAATGATTCAGCTATCATGTCAACATGGGCCTGTTCCTCTGCTGACAGCATTGGCTCATGATCACTGAAAGGTCGCCACAGCTCATTGGGGATTTGACCAGTTGTGCTTGACACGCTCTGGTCAGGGACAGACTGTGGCATCTCATCTTCTAGTGACCTGACTGACTCGTCGCTCTCTGAACCATCTTCGATGCCTAGATCCTCGAACTTGACGACCTCATCGTTGTGCACTAGGTTCATGATCCTCTGACGCTTAGGACTGGACTCGGGCAACGTGGACGAACGCTCTGGAAGTGCAGCAGGCATATGCTCACCACTAACACCAACCAGCTCTGGCAGCATTGCTTCTGGGGTACCCGGTGCACTAGGGTCGAGACCTAAACCCCCTAAACCTGGGTTCGGGCCTAAATGCTGCTCAACACGTGGCTGGTCTTCACAAACCATGGCGCTTGGTGGAGGTGCACGACTTGGCCGCGGGTGTGCCCGGCTGGGCTTTGGTACAGGGATTGCAAGCTTAGGCAACACATTCTCTGGTGTGGGCGGTGTTGCACGGACGAAGGACCAGGCGCGATGTCCTCCTGACCAGGGCTGATCACATCAGCCTCATTGCTTGAGACATCGCTCCCAGCAATGTCACTCTCCTGATCCTCTGTCGCCTCAACCTGCTTTGCTTGGACTTGTTTCCTAGAACTGCCAACCTTTCCTGCAAGGAATGAGGCGTGCTTGTCAGGATTGTCGCGCAAGGCTGCGACAAGCGTGGGGTCATATGCAGCGGCGGTCCTTCTGATGGACCTGGCCATCACCAGTCGACCTGCAGAGGTGCAAACAATGTGGCAGTCCGAAATGTCACTTTTCCCCAACCACAAAGATTTAAACCACCTAGGCTTACCCTTAGTTGCAGACCTTATCCTGGCAAGGACGTACTCCCCATACCGGACAAGCTTCCCGGTGTACGGTGTTTGATGCAAACGCTCCCACGCGGTCAATGCCTGCATGACATTGAAACGCTGCAACAACCAGCCGGAATGCCTCCAGCACCAAGCATGCAGTGGATGTAACGTGCCTATCGTCACACCTGAGTTCTGTTCAAACTCACTCAGCAGGGTCCCAACATGTTGTCTGATCTTCTCGATTGCACCTTCAGCAGTGCATGCCTGATGTTCGCCGGCAGGTGTATTCTCAACATGTGTCTGCATCCCTATGCGGCTTCGCAGTGTGCTCACAGCCTCGGCCAAACTATTGCATGACGGTTCTGGGTCACACCTCAGAGTGACGGACCGGTGCCCCAGATACGACAGCAAACGTGTGATTTCTAAAGCCATGTAGTTTCTGGCAGCCGTGCCGCCTTTTCTCTCAACTGGCCACGCTTGCACCCACTTAGTTGCCGAGTCACACACAACCAAACAGCAGAGCTTTTCCTTGTCCCCATCTTTGCGCGATGTGTAAGCGAAGTCAAAGGACAGGGTTGACACAGCTCTGTCATCCCTCTGACGTGTCTCGTGACGATCAGCTTTGGCACGGTATGAAACACAATGCTCGCACCAACCCCTGTACGGGGTGTGCGTCAATGCATGCTCTTTCTGCTCTGCCTCGCTTGGCAATGCAACCTCAGCTTGCATAGTCGCAGGTCGTTCGGTCATCTCTGCAAGTTGGCTTCTAGCTTTGTGTGCTGCGATCAGCTGCTGTTGATCAAGATGCGTCCTGATCCTCTTGAGGACTGTGCTTTTGCCCCCAGATTTGCCCAAACCAAGTGCATTAGCGGCAGACCGCAACGTCGCCAATGTGCACGCCATGCTGAGCGCAACGCCATCAACAACCAACGGCTGACTGGCCTCATCATCGGGTTCATCCCTCAAGGCACTGTCCACCTGGACCTGCTCACGCGGCTCAGGCTCTACTGCTTCGGCCTGCTGAGGCTCTCCGTCCTCCATTCGCACATTGTCTGACTCGGGCAAATCAGACGAACGCTCTGGAAGTGCAGGAGGCTCTCCGGATCCTTCACACACCTTGAGACCAACCTCCTCAGGAGCAACATGCCTCCTTGTGGCGAAAACAAGCACCTCACGAGCAACATGTCTGTCACCAGGAAGCAACGCACTCAGGTTCTCAATTGACTCAAGTGGCTCACACCACTCAATCACTGACCAAACTTCAGGCATGCCGGGTTCCTTTACGAGTGTGCTTCTGTATTCGCAACCCTCACGAGGAAGAGCAACTTGCACATCGATGAACCGCTCACTTGAGGTGCGTAACGCAAACACATCCGGCATGACCTGGTCAAAGTAGTCGCTGAGAGGACCAAGCGACTCGATCGTGTATTCAACAGCACGCACCTGCTTAGGAGAAGAGCTTGCAAGAGGTTCGGGGTGCGAGGCGATGGGTCTGCTGGCCGCAGACGCTGCAAGTGTGACTGACGATGCTTCCCTCAGAACCCTGATGTAACATCTCGCGGCTAAACTGTTCTGCTTGAAGTACACAGGGATCTGAACCTGATTGTCTGGGCTGCACAACCTCATATTGCCACCAACATGTCGCAACTCGAAACCAGCTCTGTAGAGTTTTCCAACTGCTAGGAGTGGTGACGTCACATGGGGTGCTATCAGGAAGTTCTCCTTGATGGCGGTCACCTGACCTTCCTCACTTGCAGCAAACGTCACTTCAGCACGTTTCGATCCTTGGGTGTTCAATCTGGTGCCCTGAGCATCCTGGAAGACGCCATCCTCGACTGCTACTGGCACACCATAGTCTGACATGTTTCCAGGCAAGCATGAAGCATCAGCGCCTGAATCCAGTATCATTTCTACTTCAACGCCAGGGAACTCTCCATGGGCATGTTTCAGCATACGCACATCCCCACACATCGGACCAGCAACTGGCATGTCACTGTTCTGCTCAGCACGACCGCTCAACGATGCATTATGCCAAACACACCGCCTCGGCACGCACTTCTGGAAAACGTTCCACACCCTCAGCATGAAACTCGGCCTGACGTCCTTGCCATGAACCTCATCCACAGCAGGGCTCTCACACTGGATCTCACGCTGAACCATTCGGACATGGCTCACAGCACTCGGTGACTCATCATAGTCCTCGAGATCGAAAGCAATGCGACGGACCTGGGCCTTCGCACCTGCCTTGGCTTTGGCGCTTGCCTCTTCAGAGGCCGCAGCATCGGCTGACGCAGCATTGTCAACCTGACGAACCTTCTTCGGCTGTCGGCAGTCACGGGCAAAATGCCCCTTCTTTCCGCAGTTATGGCATTTCTTGTTGGCAGCAGGATTTGCATTAGGGTTAGGGTTTCGCCCGGCTGAGCCTTTAGGGTGCTGTGGACTGTGGGTCTTACCCCCTTTTCCGCCCTTGGGACTTTTGCCACTATCACCCTTTCCCCATTTTCCCCCTTTGCCATGCTTACCACCCTTCTTACCACTCGGCCCTTTATTGTTGAGGAGGTCAATCTCCATTGGCGTTGGCTCTTCTACGAATCCACCTCCCTTGCCCTCAGAAAGCCCATATGTTGCTGCAACAGACGCGCTCCATTTTGACGAAGAAGCATCATACCTAGACACAAGTGCTCTGAGTTCACTGTATGTCCAGCTGTCCTCCATCACGAGATTCACATGCTGACGGAGTTGCCCAGTGAGGCAACGTAGCAACGAAGCAACTTTCTGATCATCAGACAAGGACTGTGAGGCAATCGCATCATACTCGGCCATCGCTTGTTCAAGTCTCAAAACCTGACTCAACAACCCTTGCTTGTTGTCGAAGGTAGGCCATGCATGAATGGTCTGTAAGAGGGCAAGCGCACGGGTCCTTGAGGAAGGTCGCAGGTCCAGAGCAATTTGTCTGTAGGCCTCATAGCCATTGCTCTCTTCTACAGTCTTCAACACCCGCTTAAGGCGATCATTCAACAACGAAGCCATCAACCCGTAAACAATCCTTGATCGGTCCATCTCCCTTTCTGTAAAATCTGTCACAGCTACAGGGGTTTTCGGATTGTCACGAAGACGCTTGAAGTCAAGCTTGAACTCCTTATCTAGGGTGCTTAGGTACTGTTCAAACTCCCACGACCAACTCGGCCAGCGAACCAGCTCTTCTTCCCTAGTCTTTCCTACAAAGACCACAGGGTGCTTTAGGACCTTGCTTAGATCCTTTGCTGCAAGCCCAGTCGGGCTCGTGGGAGAGCTTGGGCCTGAACCTGACGCAGCCTGCGCTTGCTGCTGCTGCTGGTTTTGCAACAGCTGTGTCAACACCTGCTGGTTTTGCTGCATCGCTCCCAGAATCTCAAGCAACCTAGCCTCATTGGCCTGCGTGGAACCTGTCGGTGACGCAGCGGGCCCCAGGGTAGGGCTCTGCTGGGGACTTCCATTTGGGCTGATTTGAGGTCCCGACATGACTCTCACAGAAAATCAAGGATCAAGATCAATGCATGGATTCTGCTCCCGGCTGCAGTGCTCTGAAACGCTTTCGCGGCGGTCCCAGGTCTGATGGCTCAGACTGCACAGCAGTGCTCTCTGAGGAGGCACTGTCAGGGAGAGCGGCTCCCTTGCACTCAGATGCAGTGACGGGCCTTGGGGTCTCGATAAGCTTCTGGGTCACAGTACACAAGAAAATCTCAAGCAAATCCTTCTGTCCCTTCAGCAAGTGACAACCAAAAGCAACGATTTCGGCAATGCTGTGAAGGTTCCTCAAAGTTTCCTTGTGCTGCTTTCTTACAAGATTTTGCCTACGCTCGAAGCTCAGCTGCGACAGCGAAGGAGTCTTGGGCTTGGAAAATTGAAGCTCACAGAACCACTCGATGACCTTTCCTCGGACTTCTTTCAACAGCTCAGGTGTAGGATTTACGATGTTCTCCCACCAAGGCTCAGTTAACACTTCACCCTGTCCTTCCGTCGTAGTGCTGGCGCGGGCGCAGGTGGGATTGCCGTCCACCACACACTATGGCTGCAAGAGGAGGCTGACTACACAGCTAACTCTCAAACCCAACCAACAATCAAAGCAAAGGAAACTTCGAGTCCTGGTCCCTGAACACAAACCCGAAAGACGTGTCGAACCCTGGAAACCCTTTGGCCCCTGGGTTCTTTAGGGCGCCAACCGGCTGCCCTCGGGATCGGGTCCTGTCCCTCTCGGATACCTCTGTCGCCCAACTCAAAGGTAAAGGCGCGTAGAGGCTCCGCTACCATGAAAACTTTTCACACGAGTGAACACAGCTGCAGCGGCACACTCAAGGAATCACAGCATGACCACATGGTGCAATGGGCAAAACAGTTTCACTACAGTTGCAATGAGATATCGCAATCAAATCAAACTCGTAATCAGGTTCGAACCCTATCAATTGTTTCGTGCACTTATTCGCGATATCATGCGTCGTCCACTTACGATCAGTATATCCCATACAATTTAATAAATTGCCACACCGAAATAATTGCAGAGTATAAACAAAAAATCATAAAATAACCGATACAAAAATAATATTTATGAATTATGTTAGCGAATATATGAGAAGAATAATCCATATCATAAAATAAATTACGAAATACATTATAAATAACGAAGATTATAATAAAATTGAATATCAATTCCATTCAATAGAAACCTCATCTTAAATACAACCAAAAAATAACCACAATTATATTCAATAAATTTTGCGGTTCATTGAGAACATTTTATTCGGAACTTGAGATTCTGGTTGGGCGATTCTAAATTAGGAACTTGATTGTGCCTTTAAAATGTTTGTTTTTTTCATTCTTTAGTTAAGTGAACCCCAAACACAGGAGGGAGGTGATCCTAAGGAAAGAGGCAACAGACGAAACCTTCACCCAACCTGAAGAAGGGGCTTCACTACAAGACTACTGTGTGTCTTTTCCGTCACCCTGTGCATGCTGAGTCTTTGGGCCAGACCCAGGCTTCAAGTGCTAGTTCCTTATGTTGACAAGGACCTCTGGCAACTTTTGTCTTGCGCCTAGAAGCTTCAGGGCATTATTCCACCCTTGTTTCCAAGAGATTAATTTCCTATATGTGTAGACTTGGGTTGTAGGTCAAGAACAGCAGCCGGTCAAGAAGCCTTGGCGCTTAATGACCACGCTAGATCTGCGCTCTATGTTGCCAATTTTGCTGGGGAAAAAATGTGGATGCCAAGTCCATTTCAGGAAGGTACCTTGTTCTGAAAGGTTCTAACTTCTCCTTTGGCGTAGGTTTGCAAGCGACACAGAGACGTCTTCACAAAGCACCACCAGTTAGAGATAGTGAGCCTAGCACTTGCCTTCTCCAAAGACCTTCCGGCTTTGCAGATAGCTCTTTCTTCTAACAAATCTTAAAGAAAGCTTAGACATTGGCTCTTCCACGTCCAATTGCGCGGCCACTCAAAAAGTGACGTTTGCACCACATGCAAGAACAGCCAGCTGGTACATGGGCACCAACAGGTTGTAGTAAGGGTCAAGAGTAGCGATGACATCCGCGGAGTTGACATGTTGGAAGGCACTTGCCTTGATCAAAGTGGATAAGGGATGTCGAACCTCATTTGAAGGCCTCCATCGCAGCAGCACGGCAGTTGCAGTCTCGGCAATTATCTTGGGCCCCCAGGGTGTGTCATCCAGAAGCAATATGTCCGCTGTCCCAAGGCGAAGTTATGATGCAGGCAAGTTAGAACTTATAAAAAAGTTTGTAGCAGTCATGCACTGTAGCATGTCTTTTGCTGGACGTAGCAGGTACTCCCGCTGAGGAGTTATACATGACGCGTGTCAAGCCTTGCAAGTGACATCATGACAGCCTGTGTGAGACTTCTTGTATTCTCCAAGACTCTCTCTAAGACAGATGTGCCCACACCGCGCTACAACACAGCTGAGAGGATCGAGGATCTGAGTTTGAGGAGTGTCATTCTAGAGGCCTCAGTTCCAAAACTGCATCAGAGTGCAGTTTCAGGTCTCACAGGAGCATCGCTGTGGCCGATTTTGAGGCCAGAAAATTTGCTCGTAATCGGAATCGCAACAGGATGCAGTTCTGAGGCTGCGGAGTTGTGGAGTTCCACGCTGTTACACTCCACAACTCCGCAGCCTCAGAACTGCATCCTGTTGCGATTCCTCCCTCGCAAATTTTCTGGCCTCAAAATCGGCCACAGCGATGCTCCTGTGAGACCTGAAACTGCACTCTGATGCAGTTTTGGAACTGAGGCCTCTAGAATGACACTCCTCAAACTCAGATCCTCGATCCTCTCAGCTGTGTTGTAGCGCGGTGTGGGCACATCTGTCTTAGAGAGAGGCGCTTTTCATGCGGCCATGATGCGACAAGATGCTTTCATGATGCGGCGTAAATGCTTCATGATGCCGTCGTGATGCTGCAAAAATGGTTCATGTTGCGACAGAAACGCTGCATGATGCTGTTATGATGCGGAAAAATGTTTGCACATGCACGTGACGCGTGACGCGTACATTTGTGCATGCCGCGAAACGCGTTCATGTGCACATGCCGCGAAACGTGTTCACTTTTGCATGCCGCGAAACGCGTTCATTTGTGCATGCCGCGAAACGCGTCATGCACGCCGCAAAACGCGTTCACTTTTGCACGCCGTGAAACGCGTTCACTTGCGTTCATTTGTGCACGTCGTTTTTTTTCATGTCGCGAAACGCATTTTCGATGCATTTTTTCCGCGCGCGAAAAGTGGTCCGAGTCTTTGCGAGTCTTTCCTCTGTTCCCGGGTGGGGACTCGGGAACAGACTCAGTCTCTGCGGGGTGATTACCCCGGAAGACTGCAGTCTGTAGCGCGGCGGCGGTGCGCGGCGATGTTAACGAGAAAGTCGTTCAGGTGTAATTCGATTTGGGGGGAGATGGGGGGCTTTTGCCGAGAGCGGCGGCGGTGCGGCGGCGCGGTGCGGCGGCGCGGTGCGGTGGCGCGGTGCAGTGGCGCGGTGCGGTGGCGCGGTGCGGTGGCGCGGTGCGGTGGCGGCGCGGTGGCGCGGCATGCGGGCGAGATGGGGAACTCATGGCCGAGAGTGGTGGCGGCGCGGTGGCGCGGTGCATGCGGGGGAGATGGGGAACTCTGGCCGAGAGCGGCGGCGGTGCGGCGGTGGTGCGGCGGTGCGGTGCGGCGGTGGTGCGGTGCGGTGGCGGTGCGGCGGTGGTGCGGCGGTGCGGTGGCGTGTTTTACGCCCTCCTGGCCATCCCGGGAATCACCGGTATGGCTCTGCGGGTCTCAAATCACGCTCAGGAGCTCCGCGCCCGTGGCCCGCGACGCGCCCACGTACAGGTGCTTCACCGAGAAGTGCGGGTTCTCGACGTCGCAGAGCCACACCCTCCCCGGCAGCGTGAGGCCTTGGCACGAAGCGTATGTGATCGCGTGGCAGAGCCGCGTGTGCCGCAGTAGCTCCGCGGGCGTGAAGCTCTGCCCGTCGTCCAGCCAGATCCGCTCCCCCACCTCCCGCACCGCGGCGAAGCAGCCCTTGGCGACCCTGCCGCCCGCGCCCAACGAGCCTCAGTCCCGGCCACACACGCATCGTCTGCGGCTGGTTGGTGCCCGCGGGCCCCTGCGCCCGGTGCTCCACCAGCAGCGCTCCCTCCGGCGCGAGCCGCCGGTTCTCCCGCTCATTGATGGCCATCCGGTGGGCGTGGGAGATGACGAGGCAGGTGTCGGGGTGGCCCCGCCGCGGGAACAGCTCCCACACCGCCTGCACGGCCTCCCGCAGCGGCGGCTGCTCCGGCTCGTCCACGCGAAGCCACCGCAGGAAGCGGAAGATCGTCTCGTCGCTGCGCTGGTTCTCCGTGAGCGCGTGCACGCAGCCGCCTGCCAGGTCGTGCAGCAGCTGCGAGCTCGCAGCGGCCCGCGCGCACGGTGCGCCGCACCCAGTGGTCCGCCATCTGCGCCCCCAGGCCCAGGTTCTGCACGCTGCAGTGCGTCTTCGAGATGAGCGTCACGTCCTCGCCCTGCGCCGAGAGCTGCGCCACGATCCGCCGCGCCAGGTGCGTCTTCTCCGTGCCCGGCATGCCGGAGAGCAGCAGGCTGCCCCCGTCCAGGCAGTGCGCCACGGGGTCCTCGGTCCTCGGCTCCGTCTCCAGCCGCGGCTCTCGGCAGTCTCCCTCCAATCGCTTCACCTCCTCGAACCGAAACTTCGGCGTGCCGTCACGGTGCCGGTGCCGCGTGAGCGCCTCCACGGCGGGCAGGAACTTTCTCGGCAGGTTCTGGTACACGAGGCAGTCGGTCTTCAGCGCCACGAGGTAGCGGGGCGGCACCTCCCGCAGCGCGCGGTTGATCCTCGCCATCGCCACGTACTCGGAGGAAGTCGTGCGCCGGGCGAGTGGAGCGGTTCGTGAAGAGCTCCGTGGCGTAGACGTGGTCGTAGTGGCAGGCGCCCGCGGCGTCGAAGAAGACCTGCAGGAACTCGGAGCCCCAGCCGTCCGCCTCGTGGCTGCTCGTTCTCATGGAGTAGAAGACGTCCTTGGAGCGCGCCCACAGCCCGATGAGCGCGTTCACGCTCAGCTTCGCGAAGTGCTCCTCGCCCTCGGGCCAGCCCCCCTCCATGACCTCCAGCGCCCGCGCCAGGCAGTCGGGCGCCACGTGGGCAGTGGCCTGCAGGGACCACTCGCAGTCCGCCCATCTCGCGAGGCCCGCGTCGAGCATGTAAGCCACCGCCGGCTTCCCGTACCAGCCCGGGCCGACGTAGGGCAGCCGCGCCAAAAAACCCTCGCGCTTGTCCTCCCGCTTCCGCACGAAGGTGAGGTCCGCCAGCTGCCCCTCCTCCGCCTGCCGGATGCTGTCCAGCGGGCAGAAGACGGGCAGCGGGAAGGGGGCGTTGGCCAGGGCGTTTTTCCGGCACCGCACCACGTCCACGCCCTGGCACACCTTCTCGGGGTTACACTTCGCCAGCCCGCACACGAGCGGCGGCAGCCGCGGGGAGCAGGCGTAGCTCTCGAAGACGTGGCGGCAGAGCCGGCTCTCCAGGCTCGTGGCGTGGGAGCACTCCAGGAACGTCTTGGCGCGGTGGCACTCCAGGCACAGGGCCTGCAGGGGCTGCCGCTACCCGAAGAAGGACTGGTGCACCGGCACCACGTGGTCCGCCTCGCAGCTGCCCGCGTCGATGGGCGCGGCGCAGAGCGCGCAGGCTCCCCGCTGCTCCCGCAGCAGCCCCTGCACGTCGCCGCGGTCCCTGCGCGCCTTCAGCAGCGCGCCGAAGACCTCGCTGGCCGCCCCGGCGAGCCGCTGCCCGCGGTACACGAAGCCCAGCTTGCCCATCCACGCGTCCAGCACCTCCGCGTCCTCGGGATCCTCGTGGAGACGCAGTCGCCCTGCCCCCGCACGCGGAGGCGCAGGCAGCGCCACTCCACGAGCCCGCGCATGACCACCTTGGGCTGGTGGCCCTCCGCAAGCAGGCGGGAGCGCGCGACGCGCAGGTCCTTCGCCCAGTAGTGCCCGGGCTCGAGGGCGCCCTGCCACTCCCGCCACTCGCCGAAGGCCCGCCGCTCCCCGCGGTAGCTCGGAGTGTCCCGCGGCTCGCCGTCGCACCAGGCCACGGCCCGCGCGCTCTTGTAGAAGTAAGCGTGGTCGCGGTAGACGCACAGCGCCAGGGCCCGCTCCTCCTTCACGGGCGGCTCGTAGCAGTCGATCATCTGCCCTCGGCAGTTCACGATGAACATCGGCGCCTTACGCCACTCGCAGAACTGCCGGATCTCCTTGGCGCAGCCCTGGGGGCAGATCGCGTCGAAGTCCGAGTAAATTTCCTCGAAGGGCAGCTGGAGCAGCTCCGAGACCTGGCGCAACACGCAGAGCCTGTCGGTGCGCTCCTCGAAGGCGCTCTCCAGGATCTCCGAGCCCCTGTAGAGCTGGTAGGAGACGTCCCGCAGCGCGCCCAGCGGCTGGCGCAGCGTCACCTCCGTCTCCACCTGGTTCTGCGTCACCTGCATCGTCTGCTTGGAGACGCCCCAGTCCCGCGAGGCGTCGTACGAGAGCTCTGTGACGACGTCGCCGTCCTCGGGGTTCCCCATCTTGCGGAGCGCGGCCGCGATGACGTTCCGGTGCTGCTGCACCTCGCCCAGCCCATCGTTCTGGCGCCCGAGGCCGTCCAGGACCACGGGCAGGAAGTCGTCCCTCTGGTAGGGCTGCCCGCGGCGCCGCCTCCCGCGGATTCTCACGGGCATGTGGGCAATAAAATCGGTCCACTTGTCACGGAAGAAGGCCTTGCCCAGCTTCGTGACGTTTATATTTTACTATCAGCCATCGCCCAAAGTACAGCAAAGGAAATCTTTCACAATGCACACCCGCGTTCGCCAAATCCGAACATTTAGAACAGCAAGATAAATGCAGAAGATATTTCACGCGAATCGGATCAATGCACTCCACTGCACAAAGGACTATCGGACGAAACGCTCCTTCACTTTTTGGATGTGGCGGTCGAAGCATCAAAGGTGAGCATGCAGCATGAACACATTACCGATCCATGCGAAACAAAAGACATTCCCCCCCCCCAAGGAGGGCTATACAGAGTGGCACCACGGCTTGCCGACGTGCCAGAGAAATTTTTGGGCGCAAGACCCAGGCGCTCGAAAAAGTGGGACACCACATTGGAAATGACAAATGGCACAAGATATGCTATTATCGAAAGTGTGGGAGATTTCATCTCCATGCGAGTAAAGCCTTCCGCAACTGGCTCGAATCCCGAGGGAAAACAAAAGAGCACACCACTCCCAGAGACAATCCAAGGGCGGGAGGGTGGATCACAAAATTGCTCACGCATGCGAAGCATGTCATGTGTCCAGACATGAGTCTCTTCACTTTGGGCCGATGGCTGATACGCAAGCAAGGTGACAGCTCAGTTGAAGTAAAATAAAAACATCCTTGAGTAAACACAAGATACGTTTATATTTTACTATCAGCCATCGCCCAAAGTACAGCAAAGGAAATCTTTCACAATGCACACCCGCATTCGCCAAATCCGAACATTTAGAACAGCAAGATAAATGCAGAAGATATCTCACGCGAATCGGATCAATGCACTCCACTGCACAAAGGACTATCGGACGAAACGCTCCTTCACTTTTTGGATGTGGCGGTCGAAGCATCAAAGGTGAGCATGCAGCATGAACACATTACCGATCCATGCGAAACAAAAGACATTCCCCACTTTAGAACTGCCACATCCTAAAGTGAAGGAGGAACGCCTGGAAAGCCCCAAACATTCAAGTGTGACGACTGAGCTCATGGGGGCTGCCACAGCAGCTTTGTATCTGCGGGAAAAAGACGCACATCATGATGCGACTGCCAAATGCGAGCCACAGGAAATCGATACCTGTACAAGAGCTCAAATCCGTGCTGCAACTCCTCTGGCGGCTGCCATCTACTCAAGAAATCTGCTTCTGTGTTGCGAAAGCCGGAGATGTGCTGGATGTCCAAGGTGAGGCCGAGCTTGAATGAAAGACACGCCAGTTGCTGCGCGAAAAAGCAAAGGGGGCTGGAAGTTGTCAGCATGCGATTGCCTGCCGATTCAGCCGCGCTGTTATCGCAGAAGGTGCGGAGCGACAAGCCAGCACGACCACCCGGACAGACCTCCGCAAAGAGAATTAGCAAGGCCATCTGGGCGAGCAGTTCCCAGCACCCAATGTTCTTCTGAGCGTCCGGGGCGAGAGGCACCCCCAAGCATTGCATATCGGAGAGATCAAAACGTTCACTGAACCAAACTGCCGAGGAGCCCTGGACACGAAGAAAGCCCCCAATCCCAATGCACTGGCTGGAAGCAAACGCATCGGCTGCAAGTGTTGCGGAGATCGCCCTGCAAGAAGGTTGCAAGCATGTGAGTGACGGAGACTGGAGACACCAGTCCTCCCAGAAGAGCAAGAAGCGACGGCTCGCCTCGGACACATGCCGCTTCCGGTGTTGCGGGTCAGCAATCCGCATGTAGACGCGGCGAGTTGTCAAAGGGACCTTGCACAGATCTGCCTTGCTGCGAAGTGGGACGTGTCGCGCAGAGATCAAGGTAGCACCGCATGGAATGGCTGTCCCAGGCGGGGTAGAACAGAACCGCAATTTCTCATCCAGGTGATCCTTGAGCGTCTGCCATTCACTGGAAGAGATGCTGAAGTTTGTCGCTGCCGGACGTTGAAGGTCCCGCCAAAGGTTGCAAAGCCAGGGGCGCAGCTGCACCGATGCCTGAGTTATCCACATCAACAGACCCACGGTCTGCTCTAGGGCCTGTTTCTCGACAGGACCCTTTCTGAGAAGGACCCGGACTTGATGCAGCAGCTTGGCCCGCTTATCTTCTGGAACCCAGAAAGTCCCGGCGCGAAAGTTAAAGCACCAGCCCAACCACTTCAGCTCATGACTGAGTTGTACCTTGGCCCAGGAAAGAGGAATCCCGAAGGATTGGCAGAAAGAAAGAAGCAAGCTGCCGAACACCGCCACCACGGCATCATCCTGGACAAGTAAAAGATCGTCCACATAAATGCTGAGCATATGTGCGACCCATAAGAGAAGATGGAAGACCCTGATCATGAAGGATGAAAGCCGTGCCCACCACAGAGCTGAGAAATTCGTACCAAAGGGGCACACGCGATACCAGTAATGACGTCCGTCCTCCAGCTTGATGCCGCACAGACCACGCTCCGATTCCTTGATACGGATTGTTTTATGCGCGGCCCGGATATCCAAACTGAAACCTGCGTGCTGAGATTGGCACCCGCGGAGAGGAAAGCAAGAGCGAACATCCTGCAAGCCAGGGAGGTTGTACTTCTCGTTCATGAAACAGCTCGGGTTGGTCCCACTGATAGTCCCATCCATGATCAAGCGGGGTTTCTTGTTTTCAGCAAGGACCACTTTCAGCTTGGCAACTGCGATTTTATCCCAACGTTGCTTTGCCTCGGAGAGAGGAACCTCTTCCAGCCATCCCTCATCGACTTCTTTCTGCACCAACTCGTGCAGGATCGCAGGGTTCTCCCGTGCACCCTGCCAATTGCTCTCGCAAATCTGCAGTTGATCATCGGAGGCCAGGCTGCCCACGTCTTCCACCGGGATGAAGACATTGCTCCTCGGGATGTCATTGAAGAAACCAGTGGGTATGCCCTCCAAGAGGCAAGGAAACAGCATGTCGTCTCTATCGCCCATGGCACGGGACAAAGCGGAGAGGGCATGAAGACAATATGGCTGAGAAGGTGGGACTGTCCAATCGGGGGCAGGCCAGCCCTTGCGAGTGAACCAGGAGGACCACATGGCGCGAAGAGCCAGCACTTCGTCCGCGGAAAACAGAGCATCCTCGCTTTGACTTTGAACGTGCTCCTGAAGGCGAAGAGGTGCCTTGCGAGACAACAGGTAATGCACAAGTTCCTGGCGCAAGCCGTCAAAGACATCCACAGCATCGCTAGGGGGCTTAGACCAATCAGGGCAGGAAAAGATGCCGCCGCCATCTTGCGTGCCAAAAGGAGGAGAGTGCATGCCCTTCTTGGGTACAAGGAAGGGAAGCTGGGCCAACGACAAATCAACTGGATCTGCACACGTCTCGAACAAGGGCAGCGCAGCAGCGACATACGCCTCCGCCAGTGCAGGAGGGAACTCAGAAGTGGCAGCTGAGGCCCAGGTGCCATCCGAGTTGCGAGCACCAACCACCTGCTGGTGGCTGTCCGGAGCGTGATCGCAAGCACACGCCAAGCCCTGCATGTCCCGCCAAGTGCAAGCAAAGAGCCAACGTTTGTACCAAGCTGCCCCAAACCGACAAGCCGCAATGCAGTTGAGATCGGCGGAAACGTGCTTAAGAAAAGCCTGGGTCTCTTTCTCGAGCCAGGCAAGGCTGTTGGCCGGATGTTCGAAGCTAATGTGGCCACCACCACACCACACAGCGCGGAGGATGTGCAAGGAGCGAAAAAGGAGCAAACGGCTTTGCTCGAAACGGTGCTTCTCCTCAGCATTCAAGTCTGGGAAACCTTCCATATGGTCCGGTGACCGCAGAGGGCGGGGGCCTCCATTATCCAGCAATTTCAGACGGCTGTACTCAGTGCATGGTGGAGATGCATGCGCAAGCGTCACTTGCCCGGAGAACCCCAGCCGCAACAAAGCATCGTAGGTGCTATCCTGGAGGATGTCCTGCTCACATGAGCGAAGGATATCAACTGATATGACAGAGACACCAGCCCTGAGGGCCGCGGAGGAAAGTGGCCGATTCTTGCCTGAACACAACTCGAGGAAAAGATTCCGTCGCAGGGCAGGAAAGTGCGGAGGCAGGACCTGCTCGGGAAGCGTTGGTGACGGGCACGAGACCTGTGCATCTGGAGCAGAGGTTGCAACGGCGCTGCCGTGAGTAGATGGCGGTGGAGTTGTGCTCGAAACGCGAGGCAAGGGAAAACCAAGAGCCGCCAGCAAGGAGACGTCATCAGCGGACAGGGCATCCGGATTGGGCGCCGTATAGGCGATGACGACCCAGCGATCGCCAACCCACGGTTCACTGCAGTGGCGCAAGCGGCCATTGAAAGAGAATCCAGCCCGCCGAGTGCACACAATGGCCCCACGCAAGGACTGATCTGCCTCCTTGTCTGGAGGCGGCACCAAGGTGTAGCCTGGAAAAGCTGAAGAGTCGCCTTCCAACCACAAGCCTCCGCCCGAGAAGGCCCCCAGGCTGAAGGTGTAATTCTGAGAGTCGGGGCTGTTGAAATCCTGGTGGATGTGCGCAAACTCGTTGTGAGAAACGCAGATGCTCGTCCAAGTGCCTTCAGGAAAAAGGTGCGCGAGAAATGCGTTCATATACCGCACAAGATCTTGCTGCTCCAGAGTGGCCGAGCACATGCCACCGTGACCCCCCACGCGTGCCCCTAAGTTAAAATACTGAGCAGCAGGCCGACCCCCAGTCAGCACATGTGAACGGCGAAGAACAACTGCCCCAGGGAACGAGTCCTGCAAAAGAGACAAGCAAGTCTTCCAAGACAGATCGCCACTCTGAAGAGCTTCTGCGGGCGATACACCATCATCCTCTCTTGTTGTACGAACATCTGAATTGCCAGCCCCCAGTGAAGAAGATAGTCAGTTTGAAGCGCGTGACTTGTGCTCATACGCCGGATGCTTACCCAAACATGGACGGCCGTCCGCGCCTGGGACAGGACACAAATGCTCAAAGCGACAATTCTCAAACTTGCACCCTTCACGAGAACTGTAGCCACGACAG